TCATAACTTCTTTAATTATGTGTATTTAAGAGATGGCAAAGATATTATTGTTAAACTAAGGAAATCATAAGGCTTGATAGGTGAAAAGTCAAGACAATTCTAAGGATTTGATAAAAGATATGCAAATTTCATAATAGAAACAAATGGACTTTTTCTTTCAAATTGACATTTCTGAAGGAAAGATTAAAATTAGAATTTATTGTCTTCTTCACACTGAATTGCTAATATCATTCAATGTACTTTGGTAAAAATTTATAATTCTTTAATAAATAAGCACGTAAGTGTTTTTTCATCTTAATATATAATCCTTCAATAAAGAACATATGTATATTACTTAGTAAATCTGTTCTCTTAAATATTTTGGAAATATTTTTTCAGTATAATTGTTTTCCTTTCAAGTATTTAAACTTTTATTCTGAAAAGGCACCCACAATAGACAGACTAATGATACAACTAAAAGCAAAGAATGATTCAATGCTTTTAAAAGTAAATAACTGACTAGTTTTATGATGCTATATAATTACTTTGTTAACCAATCACTATTGGCAGCATAATTTCCATTTGTCAATCTCTGTAATAAGCTCTATAAATGCACATAATATTTATAGAATCTATGGTAATAATACACTCATTTTATAGAAGCATGAGTAAGATTTTTATACGTTAAATCATTTCTCTATATCTCTAAAGAAAACCAGGATGAGAATGTTAGTCTGTTAGAATTTAGAATCTATTATTTTTCCATTATGCATTCTTAAAGTAAAATTATGCATTCATAAAGCAAACTGTAATAATGCTTCTCTTGTACCTACCACAAACATGAAAAATGTACAATAATTAGGATGAGTGAGTTAAGGTTAAGAAAAATGAGAATGATCCAATGTGAAAAACAATGTCTATAAACTTTGTAAGTGGACTAGTATAAAATAAACATTTTATATAAAAAATTATACTAATTGAATAAATAAAAACCTTATGTTGTAGCTATAAACACATAACTCCTCTTTCCCATATCTAGTTTGTTGAATATCGACACCTATTTTATCTTAATTTCTTGCTAAATCAGCAATTTATATTCTCCAGCATTAATTACGGAAAGGTACTAGGATGATTTAAAAATAGAACTATCATAACATGTAGAAGCAGATTATGTGACACGTACTTTTGAAAGGAAGAACAGAATCAAAACAAAGCATGTTTGTTTTCTGAGGTAAATTACATCCTTCATTGGGGTGAAGAGGAAGAGCTGTCAGGTGATGAACACAGAAGTGGATGATTGCTTTCTCAATGGGACAAAGAATGTCTCTTATCAGTGAATGAAGTCATCTCTTTTTTCTTTTAACACCTCAATTGTGTTTGGAGTGGTTAAGGAAGTCTAAACAGAGTGACTTAATTTATAAGCATACTGGAGTTTGTGCCATATATATGTAATTGGACTTGTTTGGAAAGGTAAGAAGCATCATGTCAAATCTAGACGAACTTGAATTTCTATTTTCCCATTGCTTTGAATGACATGAGTTCCCTAATGGGACTAATTCATAATGTAGAAACACCATAAATTCCAGATTCTAGGTAGACATGCAGTTGTGTTTGGGAAGTTTCTACACAGCTGAGTATGCTGGTCTGAAAACAACACTAAATGTTCAGAGTATATATCATTTCCCTCAGTATTTTGCTTCTGGCCTTTCTTGGAAATATAATATCCGACATCAGCGCACACAGAAGATAGTAATTGAATTTGGATAAAATTAGGAAAGTTCACAGCTCAAAAAGGATTAGAGAGGAAGTGGTGACATAGAAAGCTGACTTGAATCAGTAATGTTTTTAGGAAGCCAGACCAGAGGCTGAAGTTCCATTCTGGACAGATACTGCCAGGAAGGTGGTGGGAGTGAGTAAAGCTCCCATTCTTTCAGGTGAACAGACTCCAGTTACCCAATATGATATTCGTCATTTTACTGTGTAAGTAAACTGTACTTCTGGTTTATCTGAATTAATAATATAGTTATTTGTAAACCAACACTAGCCCATGAAATTCAATGTTAATAAGCTAGCACTTGTAGCAATTAAGAATATATTTTAAAATTGCTTTTTACTGTCTAAAAATGTTAACCTTCTTTTATTTATTTGCTTCAAATTCTATGGAAAACATGTACAATCAGCAAAGTATGATAATCATTCAAGTTGTTTCTATTTCCTTGTATAAAATAATCTAATTATTTATTATATATTCCTATATTGGCTAATGTCTTTTGAAAAGAAAACTTTCCCATAACTTTTTACAAGTTATAAGATGTTAAATTTCCAACAATTATCTGTTTTCACAGATTTATAAGTTAATTTAGATGGCTTTAAAATAAAGTAGATTAATTTAAGCCATTCTATGCCTTTGTTCAAAGAATTAATACTTACTAAGAAAATGTTTAGTAGAGGAAAGGAATTCAACAGTACGTCTGATATCTGATGCTCCATATTTTGAGCTATTACTGTCACCTGGTGAAAAAGTGTAGGCTTATTCCTTTTAAAGCAAGTTCTATGAATATATTGTAAAGAGCTAGGGAAATACATTATTTGCATTTAAAGTAGAGTCTTTAAATATACTTTTCTGGGTATGTTATTATTAAAGATTCTTTATCTTTTTTAGCATTAAGGAAAACCTATATAAGCTCAGGAAAGGGATATTCGTAATGATAGAAGACTATTAATAATGTACTGATTAAAAATAAAGGCACACTATTTTCTAGTTAATCTAAATTTATAAATATTGATGAACATAAAGGCACAATTGTGGTCATGAAAACAAGGATATTATTTCAAAGTGTTGTCTAAAAATAGAAAGCAGATATAAATCAAGCCAAAGAAAAGCATGTCAAGAAGAAAGGGACTCTTTTTATCTAGTTTCAATTTCCTTTGATTTACATAGTACTTCTTTCAAGTTCCAAAACGGTGTTTCTCAGATATATGTAATATATTTTTACTTCTATATTTTATGATAAAGTAAAATCTTGGCTATTTTTAGCTTTTATAGATTAAGTAGGAACATAACTTCATTAAAGACCCAAATGAAAAGCCTTAAGTTTTCATCTTTTACTTGTAACGTAGACTAGATAAATGGAGGTAATTTCCACAAGTGTTATGACCAGAATAATATTGTTTAATAAGTTTCTAGTATTTTCCTCAGTGCTTTCTTTAGAATATTTATTCAATATAATCTAAGTAGGTACCACTCTTGGGAACAGTCGTGACCAATGACAAACAGAGATATTTTAAAATCTTGGAGCATTTAATACACTAATTAGTATTATATATCTTTATGAGCTATGTATAATATGCAACATATTTCATATTATTTATTTTTAAGTAGAATTTGTTTTTCCAAAAAGAATATTTGAAAAAAATTCTAGATTCAGTCAATACCCTACTTCTGTGGAGTTGATCCTAATGCATACTGACCTTGGAAGACGGAATAAACCTGCCTTATTAGATTTCTAAATTACAACCCTAGATAAAGGCAGACTGATATATATTTCTCCCATAGATTTAAAAAAAGGATGACAAATTATTCTCAGCAGTGAATTAGTAAATTTTGGAAAACTTAGGTTTTACCTTTAGGTTTTGGTGTAAAAGAGTTGAAATAATTTTCTTATTCATTATTTCAGTTGGGTAGAAAGCATAAAAAATAGAGTAAAATAAACAACTAACAATATTTTTCAATAAAAAATGCAAAATATCAAATAGAAGTACCAAAGATTTAGGAAAAATATTAGGTAAAATCCATACACAATGACATACCCAGCAGCACATGCCTGTAAGTTCCCTGAAGGAGCATCTGAACAATGTTTTCCTCCCTCGGACAGTTATATCACAAATAGACAGCTTTAACAAATAGAAATTTATTTTCTCTCTTTAGAGAGGCCAGCAGTTCCAATCCTGGGCACTGGCTCAAGAAAGCTTTTCTTTCTCAGTGCGCCTAAGGAAAGGTCCTTGTATCTGTCCCTCAGTTTCTCAGTGATCTTGCTTCATGTCCTCTGTTGTCTGCCTTTTGTGCTACTGTGAATCTATGCTTAGTCAAATATGTAATTGGTTTAAGATAGATCTTTACTTCCATGATCTCATTAACAGACCGTAGAGCACCGTGTTCTCAAGTGGGATTACATTCCCTGATATGTACCATCTAATCCACTATGATTCATAGCCACCCCATGCACAATATATCTGACTTTTGCCCTATCCTGCACCATCCTCACAATCTCTGAAATGCTCCAGCCCATTGTTACAGTCACTATGTCTATCCATCTTGTTGAAGGTTTTTTTCTCTTTCACTAACAAGCCTACATTTCCCAGTATGATGTCTACATCTCCCAGTATGATATCCTTTTCCAAGGACTGGCCCCTTCTGACAAAATGTCCAAAGTATGTGAGGCAAAGGTTTATTATCCTTGCTAGCTGTACTTTCTCCAAGACAAAGTTTTGTTTTCTTTGTTCTTCTAGCAGTTTATTGGATAATCAGCTCCCTTCTCTGACACCACAATTCAAAGCCTTCAGGCCTTTTGTCATCCTTATTCATTGTCCTACTTTAATTCATAAGAAGTAACAACACTTACAACTTATATTTTTGGAGAACAAAATTCCATTTATAACAAGATGTAATTGTTAATAAGAATTAAAATGCAAGTTCCTTTCTCTTAAACATAAATTGAGTTTGACATTAAACCCTGATTTCACAACTTTGTCAGACTAGCCTCATCCAAGTAAACCTGGGTAGTTTAAAAGTGGCTTTTGATATTTTTTCTCTAGGCTTGCCCATCTAGAATCTAAGCAAGCTAAATAGATGAGGTTGTCATTGAGCAGATGGAGAAATAGAAAGCTGATATGTCAACTTCTACTTGAGCCTTCAAAGAGAAAACTAGACATAGACGTATCCAGGGGCCAAATCTCTAAATAAAGGCTGAACATTAAAGAGCGCAGAGTCCAATAAATTGTCTTAGAATTTCTTTAGGACAATGGGTTCAGAGAAAGGTAAGAGATAAGAAAAAATTTCAAAGCTTTATATAAAGAAAATAACTGTATATTACTAAAAGTGATTTATAATATTCTCATTTATTATTCCAAATTCATAACTTTGCCTCTGATCAAGTCATGGATCTCTTAATTATAATTCATCTTTATTGTCTCAATAACGCAATTATGATTTCCAAGGTTTTTTTATGGTTTGTTTAGCTAGTGTCAATTTGTGTAGCTTATATAAGATGCTAAATTAGCATTGCTAATTTCCTAATTAATGCTAAATCTTTTTCTCTTCCCCCCCATGATGTTGTTGTTGTTGATTGCCTTTGAGTTGAGCACGACTCATAGTGACCCTATGAACAAAAGGCCTGAAGCCCCATTACAACTATTGATATTTAGCAAAGTTCATAGAGTATAAAGATGCATGTTATTTAGGAAGTGGAAGCCACTCCTGCTTCCAAAACTGTTGTAGTATTTTATTGTTGTTATGTGCGATTGAGTTGCCTTTGATATATAGCAATTCTATGTACAGCAGCTCTGAACCCTGCCCTGTCTTGAGACAGTCTCACTTATTCTGACACACCAATTCTCATTGCCCCAGTTACTGTATCAATACATCTCATCTGGGGTCTCTCTCTCTCTGTGCTGTGCATCCATCCTTCTGAGCATAATGTCCTTCGCTAAGGACCAATCTCTCTTGGCCTTGTGCCCAAAGTATGTGAGGCAGAGCTTCAAAATCCTAGTCTCCAAGGAGAAACTTGGTTTCACCCTCTTCGATACAGGCCTATTTGTTTTGTTGGCAGTCCAAGGTATGTTCAAGACTCCTTCCTCTCCAGCACCACAACTCTAGGGCATCTATTCTCCTGTCATCCTTAGTCATTGTCTAACTCTTTGTAGTATAACAAATAATTGAAAAGAACATGACCTGGATTATGAGAACCTTTGTATCTGGACTGATATCGTTGCTCTCCAGGACTCTGCAGAGGTCCATGACAGCAGATTTTCCCAATGCAATTCATTCTTTTGATTTTTTGACTGCTGGCATTAAGAGTGTTGATTGTGGATCCAAGCAAGGTAACAATCTCAATCTCTTTTCCATCTATTATGGTGCTGCCTATTGGCCCAGAGGTGAGAATCTTTGTCTCCTTGATATTGATCTTTAATCCATATTGAAGACAACAGTCTTTGACCTTCTGCAGCAAGTGCTTCAGGTTTTCTTCAGTTTCAGCAAGTAAAGTTGTATCATCTGCGTATTGTAGGTTGTTCATGAGTCTCCTTCCAATCTTGATGCTATACTCCTCCTC